TTTCTTATTGACACAAGAGTTTTTAATTCTAAAGTAAAACATACATTTAGATTGTACGATGATACGCATTCTTTGTAAAAAAAAAGACTTACTTAAATGACATTAAATAATTTATACAAGATGTTTTGCTTGTTCTACATTATCATGATTGTAGTAAAGATATATGCAAATACTTTTTTTAAATAGTAGAAACAAACAAATTTCAAATAAACGTTATACGATTAGAGAATTTAATTGAAATTAAATTCTATTAGAAAATATAATGTTATCATTTACTAATTTGCTTATGGAATATAGCTTGATTGAAAACTAGCGTCTTCAATTTATTTATTTAATTGGTCTATAATAATTGACCAATCGTATACTAGTTGCAAGTGTTTCCTTCTGATGCGCTCCAGTGTTTCTTTTCTATGTCATATGTTTCTTTTTTTTTTCTTCTATCATTCTTGTTACATTATTTGTAGTTATTTTATGCTCCTTTTAATTGATAGAGTCTATGTTGATTTCCTATATCGATATATCGTTTAGTTTTTATGACGAGAACGTTCTTTGCCTTTTCCTTCTTTTTTTTTTTCGTCTTTCTTTTTTTTTTGCTTTCTTATTATTGCACCCACTACTTGTGGGATATTGTTAGGGCGTTTGAATTATTTGCTATGTTAATACATTTGATTGAATAGATTAAATAACTGTTTTTACTCATTTTGATAGATTAAACATGACGAATTTATTCCGCAGTAGTACACATCATCCGACAGGACTTCAACAAGCTATTGAAAAAGCTACTGATGGTAATCAATCAACTGAAGATTGGAGTTTAATAATGAAAATTTGTGATCATGTTGGAACTCGTGAAGAAAGGTAGTTTTTTCTTAATTTTTTGTTTTGTTTTTAATATATTCGATATAATTAGTGCAAAAGAAGCAATGAAAGCCATACGAAAACGTTTACAATTAAATCCCGTACAACATGGATGGCGTACTATTGGATTAACTCTTACTGTATATTATATTGAAATATAAAATAAAATGAAAAAAAAAAAACTTTGTTCTTCTTCTGTTTTTTTTTTGTCTTTTAGTTATTAGAAGCCTTAACAAAAAATTGTGGAAAACTATTTCATGTACAAATTGCACATAAAGATTTTTTAAAAGAACTTAAAGGAGTTATTGGACCAAAAAATAATCCACCTCCAGCAATACAAGAAAGAGTTCTTGGTATGATTCAAGTAAGAATTTGAAAATTTAATTTATGAAAAGAAAAAGAATTTTTCCTTTTTGTTTTTTTTTTTTTAAAGACTTGGGCATTAGCTTTTCGTCAAGATCCAGATTTAAAAAATGTTGAACATTTTTATACTGAATGTATACAACATGGTTTACAATTTCCACCAGCTGAACCCGAAAATATTATTAAAGCATCTTTAACACCAACAGTAAATTTTGAAATTTTAATAAAATAATATTTTTTGTTTTTGTTTGAATATTTAGCGAACTATTGAACGACCTTTACAAAATACACGATCGATGGTAAGATTCATTTATTTAAATTTATTTTATTAAGAATTTATTTTCTAGCCTCCACAAGAATTTGGAACAGTTAGTGGACAAGTAATAGTTTTTGTTTGAATATTAAATTATACAATGATTTTATTTTATTCATAGAATCGATCAGCATCAGATGGTTATTCATATTCCATTGCTAACAATCAAACAGCTGTACAATCAATGTCAGCTGAACAACTAGCAAAATTACGTAGTGAATTAGATGTTGTACAAACAAATGTACAAGTATTTGGTGAAATGCTTGTAACATTACAACCAAGTGAAGAAAATCCACAAGATTTCGAACTATTGATGGTAAAAAAATTTTATGTTTGTAATTTATTTAAAACTTTTTAATGATATGTATAAAGTCAAGGACAAGAGAAAAGAAAAAGAAAAAAAAACGAATGCTTGTTTCGTATCAATTCAACAGAATAAAATAATTATCTTATTTAAGAATAGAAAAAGAAAACGACAACAGCTGCATAAGTAGTACAATGTTTTGAATTTAACGTAGGCTCATTAATTTTTATAATATCATCAATACTTGAAAGTCAAGAATTCAGATGAAATACAATGAGTTTTTCTTATTTTCAATTCATATTTTTAGACTATCGAGTTCGAGTCGAAAAATTTTTACTAACCAAGTTCAAATTTCAGAAATTCTTGAATTCGATGAGTTTTACTTTGTAAAACTTGTGTAGCTCATGAGGAAAGATACATACCTATATGCAACTTATTTAACGATCATCTCACCTTTCTTTTTGTTTCATCATCATATATTCAGCAAAGTATGTAACAATAGAAAACATTGTCACTATGAAGACATATTTTCAAAACAAGCGGTAAATCGTGTGAGATTATGTGATGTAATGTAGAAGATAAAATTATTTATTTATCCTTTCACTATGTGAAAAATAATAATCCTAAAAGGTTACTTGCACATTTCATCATTTTTTGTTTTATGATCCATCTTAGCATTTGAAACTTAAGATTGAAGTGTCTATAAAAAAAAAAAAGAAAGTATTTCTGTAGATATTTTGTCTAGTGATAACGTTGTAGACTGACTAAAAGATTGAATTTGATGATAAACACTCTTGTTAGAAGAGAGTTCAGAGTAATAACACAGAATCTAGAAAGGTCTAAGAGCTGTTAAGACTCTGTTATTCGAAATTAGCACAGTGAACTGCATACCATCATGTATGTTTCTACGATAAAAGTGATTGATCCCTTGGAGAATGTTTCCTCGAGAGAAAATTAGAGAAACATGCAAATATTTGTTTTTGTTTTATTTTGCCTATGAAAAGAAGAGTTTTCAATATTGAAAGTAAAAACAGTTTTCAGTAATTTTTAGTTTGTCTCACTTGATTTTTCGGTATATTTGTTACAAAATTGAATGTTTTCTAAATCTGTTGTGTAGTACAGAAATGTTAGTATTTCAATTTGAAGGCGGTAAAAAAAATTTTGATACATTACATAAGTCTATCAATTTGATGAAAATAAGAAACAAATATTTGAATTTATATTACCTAAATCTAGGGTAAACTTAAGTCTTGTGACTCTGTTGTCTATGAATAGTCGAAAAAACGAAAATAATTTATACTCAAGTATGCTTATACAAAGTATTCAGTTTAATAATTTTCTACAAGAATTAACTTTTCTATTAAAGTTTAATGTCATTTGCATAATAAATGCTTTGGTCAGATGGTTAGTTTAATTCAAATTTTTGCACGAGTGCAAAAAGTATGCACTAGGAATTTCTCGACTTTCTTCCATTCTGATATAGTGAATGCAATAAACTACAAGAACGTTATTTTAAGCTATATTAATACTTCTCTATAGAAGTAATCATCAGCACAACTTGTGTGTTCATTATTGTGTTACACATAACTCTCTTCGGAAGAGTCCGGTGTACAAACCTTACTGACTTACAAGAGAACATATTCATTTCTCGAACACCGTTCAACCCCATATTTTAGTTTTGTGTAGAACTCAGTGATACTAAGAAAACTGTAAATGGGTTCGAATTTCTGCATTGCACAGCTGGAGTTATGCTCGTTTAAGTGAATCTTTGGTCTCTGGATCAGCTGTACATGAGAAAATCAACTAGGAGATTTTCAATTAACATTTTTCACATAAACATATCTCATAACCATTGGAATATATTCTTCTTGAGCTATCAAGTATCCAACGAATGTTTGTATATCACTCCGCAAGCCATAGAATCACGTTGTCTTAGACACTCGATATCCCAAAGTCATGAGACTAATCTATTGGCAAAAGTTCACATGAAATTTTCATAATTGACTTTTTCATGAAAACATGATTTGATGGTTGAAGTTCAATTAAATGATCATAACTCTAGCTGAGATAATACGTGAGTCTGAACTCATTTAGAGCTTTCTTAGTGTTACTGACTCTTACTTAAAGTCAAAATATGGAATTGAACAACGTCCAACAGTTGTATATATTCTCTCGTTATAATTTATTAAATATTTGAAAACAATATAATCATGCTTTTTTATTATTAAGATATTTTTCTAATATCAAAAATTGTGGGACTTGAAAAGTTTAATCTTATTATTTCCGAAATCAATTCTAATTTTGCCATTGATGAATGAATTGCTAATAGTCAGGGATGTGGCGACCACGGGGTGCAGGGGGGTGCGCACCCCCCACTTTTAGAAAATTATCGCTTTTCCCCAGCAAAAATCTGTGTTTTTACTGAAAAAAAAGATCATAAGATGGAAAAATAAGGTTCTGCACCCCCACCCCAAAAAACACTTTTGTTTTTAATGAAAAAAAAAATCAAAAGATGAAAAAATAAGGTTCGCCCCCCCCCCCCCCCCCCGCTTTTTTCTCTTCGCCACATCCCTGCTAATAGTTATTGTAAACAAAAAAAAAATTTTTTTTGATCAGATTAATTCTAATTCCTAATTTCATTAGGAATTACATAATACATGCAGACAAATGCAAGCTCGTGTTATCGATTTACTTTCTCAAGTATCTCTTGATGATATAACAGGTAAACAAAAATTAATTAATCCAATTGAAAATAATTAATTTTTTTTTTTTTTTTCATTAGTTGATCTTTTACGATATAATGATGAATTTAATAATGCATTTAAAACATTTGAAA